CGAAACAAGCTACCCAGTAGATGGACGGCCTGTGGGAATGCAGCATAGGTGCTGGGACATGTAGGCTAGATGCTCATCTAGACTGACAAACCAACGATTTCAACATGGGTAAATATCCACAAATGTAAACGTGCTCATTCTCACAAAGGTGCTTGGGGCAATAAATGCCAACATCCTACCCCAATTTCGCCCCCTTCTCCCGCCTCTGCGTGCACTCGCCAGTTACACCGGCTGTGTAAACCAGTTCCTGCGGCTGGCTGTGCAGAAGGTTCTAAGTTTCTCCCCAAAGTGGCACATTTTAACATATCCTCAAACCACCTGTGCCCAATAACCAGGCACTGGTTTATCTGGCATTTCAGCATGATGCAGCTGACATCGACGTCATGAACGTTGTACCAAGCTGAGATAGTTCATAAGGCCTTCGTAGCGTGCGGGCAATGGCTGACTAATATTCCTAAGCGTGTAGCAGTAACCAATTTCACCTGCGTTCGACCTAATCCAGTTCCAGTATGCACGCATTACTAATGGCCCTATGACAAATGGCTACGAGAAAATTTTCATATAAATCCGACTGGTGATCCAGGCTCTTATCGGACTTGGAAACCCAAACGCATCACGCAAAGCGCTGCTTTCAACTCTTTTACTCAAAAGCGTCTCTAGACTCAACAACCTACTGCTCCTTTGTATCACCGCCAAATAATGACCAAACTCATCGCTATTACCGGCGCCACTGGCCTCCAGGGAGGCAGCGTTCTCAAGTCTCTGCACGCGACAGGCGCCTACAAACTCCGCGCTATCACACGCAATACCTCCAGCGACAAGGTCAAAGCCCTCAAGGCCAAGTACCCCGACGTTGAATGGGCTGAGGCTGACCTCGACAGCGGTGCCTCTCTTGTCAAAGCGTTCCAGGGCGCTGACTATGTCTTCGGCGTCACTCAGTTCTTCCAGCCTGGCGTCATGGACAAGGCCTTGGAGGGTGATACTGATGCCGAGTTTAGGCAGGGAAAGAACATGGTCGATGCTGCAATCGAGGCCAAGGTCGGCGCAATGATCTACAGCAGTCTGGATTCGATGAAGCAGCTGTCCGGCGGCAAGTACCCCGGTGTGCTGCATTTCGAAGGCAAGCACAGGATCGAGGAGTACCTGAACAGCATGTCAGACAAGATCAGCCCGTTCTTTGTCTACTTGGGGTACTACATGGAGAATTACGTGGACTTTTCGCGTATTTCGCCAGAGGACAACAAGACTGTCGAGTTCACCATGCCTCTCCTGCCTACGACGAGGGTTCCTCTTGTTGATACCGCCAATGACACGGGTGTCATCGTGCGCTATATTATTGAGCATCCTGAGGAATGCCGTGGCAAGCCAATGGAAGCCAGCGGTGGGTACTACGAGGCACAGGAGATGGCCAAGGCATATACTGAGGCTACGGGAAAGCCTGCCCGGTACGTCCAGATCCCGTACGAGGCAGTGGGTTTGGACGAACTTGCGCAAATGTTCAAGGGGCTTAACGAGTTTGGCTTGTTTGGAGGCAGAACCGGGTTCCTCAGCCGTGGCTATTCAGCAGCGGGTGGATTCACTACCCCAGTCCAGTTCTGGAAGAACCGCAACTGGAGCGGCCCTTCCTCTGCTTAAGCACCTTTGGTCGCCTCACATATCACATAAAATGAATAATCAGGTCAATATACTTACTCCTTACTGTCTGATTTTGCAAAGGTGAGGCTGTAGATAACCTGGCATCCTGTTCAGCTATCGGCCACTACACCCAGTGTCAGCTGTGTATACAGCACCATTGGCGAATGACTGTCTCTGACCCGATCACGTATTGGGCTTTGCTGGTAGACCTACCCACCAAGTAGTTGGCAAACTACCAGTTAATATGAATTGCAAATATCAGAGTGGAAGGCTGTCAGCATCGGGCCTTTATTTGTGAGAAAATGAAGTCGAAAAGGGGCTGTCATGTGCGAGAAAGTCGCTAATTGTCTGATTAAACTCGGCGCTGCACGTGCCGTCCCTGTTTTCGCCATGCGCTATATTCTCAGCTACTATAGCGATTCTTGGTCCACGAGGGAGGATGGCTGCTGGATCCAATTCAGCCGCAGAATCCAATCAATAGGCATATACGCTCATTCTCGTAGAGCTACATTTCCCCGGCAGCTACATGCCAACGGCATCTTTCACTCTGGGCTTTTTGGCAGCTGCCAGATTTCTTGCGTTTAAAAACTATATCTGTAGTACACTCCCTCTTCATAGGCACTTGAAGCTGTTTTCGTTTTCCCACCTACTTCTGATAGCTATTAGCCTTTTTCTCGAGATGGTTCTAATCGTTGAACTCGAGCCAAGTACCGAAGACCTATTTGACTATGCGTCATCCACCCCAGTCTCTACTAGCCCTACTGAGCCGGCCAGGGAGTTCCCACCTGAGGGCAACGAAGCAATTTTATCGAAAGCACTCGACAAGAATCCACTCACCAGGTACCTCAAGTACCTGATTACAACGCGAATTTCGCTTGGTTGACACCTATGTTAACGATCTCCCGGGCGTCTACGAGGAAGCCCTGTCCTCTGATTCCTCACTGCTCAACACCACTACCCAGAGCTTGGGTCGCCTGGCAAGTGCTAGCATGCAATTCCAGCAGCACATCGAAGAGCTGTCGCGGATTGGTGGCGACATCAGCACGGCGTGTGGGGCGCTGGACACAACCATCGAGTGCCTGATGAGGCGTGTAGTGGCAGAGCGGATGCAGCACGCGATAAAGGCTGAATTTGAAGACTACTTTCTGCAGATTGCTGAGCAGAGTGCCAAGAGTTTCGATTCCTTCGAGTTTGGCCTCAGCCCCTCTCAGTACCTCGATGACTGGATTCCCAGTCATTGTTGTATATGGTGGGCCGACGGAGGGTCTGAACTGGCGTTCGTTCATCATTTCCCATGCCTCGCCTTTGGTGCAGCACTATGCCAAATATGACTTGGAGAGCGCCGTTGACTGGGAAGTGGCCAAACGCAGAATCAACAGAAAGCTCACTGTCAGCATGCCCTGTGACAGGCTTGTTCAGGACAGGGACCTGATTGCCGATGCAGGAGGGTACCAGCAAGCACTTGACAGGCTGTCGAAACAAGTATCCAGGTGCCTAAGATTAGTCTTCGCTGGGTTAGCGTGCTGTGCAGCAGTGCAATAGCAGGAGCGCATGGTGCAGGCACTGACAAAGCTGAAAATTCGTGAGATAGCCTCGTTTGATTTCAATAGCCTGAGGGACTACAGACCTAGCTCTGGCTCTGGCTCTAGCTCTAGCTCTGGCTCTGCTGGACCAGATATTCCGTAAGGTGATGCCGGCATAACATTCCAATAAAATACTTGCATTGAGATATGGCCGGTACCCCATAAATGGCGCGGGCTGCGCATATACGCGGAGCCAATGGCAGAAATGTTGGCTTCGGCCTTGTTTCAGATACCCTCGCATTCACAGTTACAAGCCATGAAGTCTACACAGAACAGTAGGTATCGCAATGAATAGCATACATCCTTTGGTATCGCCACAGGTCTAAAAGCACTTTTTGTCGGGCTGGTAGTTTTTGAGTTTAGAGTTTACGATCTCTCGGGCCAGCAAGATCGCGTGTCTAGCTCAGTGCCCAGGCAGAAGAATTCCCGGCAGGCTTCGCCAGCAGTACTATCGGCCAGCAGCACTGGACTTGCAGATCCAACCGCATTCGTAGAACCAGCGAGCATCAGCAGTTCAAGTTCCAAGGATGCATCGACAAACTCCCTGTATTGTGCAGCTTGCAAAAAAAAGTTCAACAACGCGTCAACATTTGCTAACCACCAGCAGACGGAAAAGCACCGCAAAAACGCAAAGGCGTCGGGAAAACGCCCACCACCACGACAGCAGACTTCGAACACCCACCAGCACCCGGTGGTTCAGGGGGCGCTTGCAAGCCTGAAGAAGGCAAAGGGCATTATGCAGAAGGATCCAGCTGTTGCGGCTACAGTTATGTGGAATATTGCCAAGGACATCGCTGAGCATGGCGACGATACGACAACCAGATCGGCGCTTGAAGGCGCGCTCGAGTGCATGGAGCGCATGAATGCAGACAAGGCACTGAGAGGAGCCAAGGGAGCGCCGGCATCGTGGACTGCCAGGACGCTGCTCAAGACCATGCTGGATTGTAGGATGGCGCTGGCAAGGCTCGAGCCGGCAACAGACAGAGCTGGGACCATGTATGTTGATGCACTAGGCGGGTTCCTTGGGATCGAATCAAAGGCACTTCACGGTCTTGCGCAAAGCCGTGATCCAGTCAGCCTAGATGCCGTGGCATCAAAGCTGAACGAATCGATTCCGCGGAAATTTGCTAATACAGAGGACATTGACCAGGCAGTGTCGACCATCGAAGAAGTCGCCAGCGGACTGCTATCGTTTTCTGGTGGCCAACGCGAGGACCCAGCCATATGGACTGGTGTAGCGCTTTATTTCCTACTACACTCGTTCGCAACTACAAAGGGTGCGCCAGACACTGCATACAGGGCATTGTTGACTGCTGGTGAAGCTTTCAAAGCACTCGGCTTCGAGTACTTGCAATGCGACTGCGCGTTGATTCTCATCGACAAACACTGGCAGCAGAACGCCGCCAAGTTTATAGTTGCCCAGGCTATAACAAGATCGCTAGAGATGGGCGATCTAGTGCGTGCCCAGAGCATTCTGAACAAGACGAAGGAGCGGTGGAGCGACCCGTGGATCCAGTACCTGGCCAAGGTTGTCACCCGGTCGGTTGATTCTGATGCGCTATGGCTCGAATTCGATGCCAGAGACGAATGGACCCATGTGTGCTCTGACTCTGTAAGCCTTGACAGCACAATACGCGCTCTGGTTGACAATTGCCTGGGCGCTATCTTGGCCGACTATACTTTTTACATCCCAGCTACTGCGAGATAAGGACCCATCATTCCAATACATGTGTGGTTCAAATGACGACCACCCGCTATGCGCAGAGCTCCGCCCACGCGATGTAGATTGTCCCCAGCCCCATTTTGACCTCACCTCCATACCTTTGCAATGCGAACAATCCTGCCCAGCACATTAAAGCAGCCTAAGAACCTGGGGAGTCTCAGTAAGACTGAACGCCAGCAGAGGCCCAACTACTTCTTGGCAGTCCGGCTCAGCAACCCATCGCTGCAAACACAGCTCCAGCATTTTTACAAGAGTGTCTCAGAAACCTTCCCCAGGCACAGCCGGTATCTTATCAACCCCACGCTATCACATGTAACATTGGGCACAATGTTCCTGGAAAAGCACGACATCCCTGGCGCAGTTGACCTCTTGGAGTCGTTCGCCGATCTAGTCAACGAGTATATCCAGGAGCCACCCAAACTGACGCTCAAGGGGATTGGCAACTTTGGCGGTAATCGTGTCGTGTTTGCCAACGTCGATGCCAGCCACGGGTTTCAGTCGCTAGTGCGCGACATCCGGGTGATATTCTGGTCGCACGGCTACTCTAACACCCCTTTGCTGGCGCCCAGGCGCGTACCGTATTTCGGCAACGACATTGTCCCCCATGGGAGTGCCTTCCAAGTGACTAGTGGGCACGTCATGGACTGGAAACCACATGCAACACTGATGAAGGAGCGCTCGCTAGCAATGCCTGTATCTGTGAAAAAGGCCAGAGAGCAGATCAAGTCCTCGCTGGCGAAACTGGAGAACAGTGAGACTCCTCGCAAGAAGCCTGCGACCAAGATCCCAGGATTCGTATTTGAGAACTTTATGAACCACTCGTTTGGATCGCAGATCGTGTCTCGGATCGAGCTGCTGTCGATGACGGTGAAGGACAAGGACGGCTACTATGCGCGCCTTGGCGGGCTAGATATAGACAAGTGACGACGGATACCCTCAATTGATGGTTTTTAGACTCTGCAATAACTACAAAACGCAAAAGGCTACTCGCCAAAGGTGATCTTGGAGCCCTCGAACTGCACGGCAACACCCATCAGCTTGGTTTCGGCTATGTTATCAGTGTTCTCAGTGTCCATCTTGCGTGCCTTCTTCAAGTCGGGTTCTGCCGCAGCCATCACTGCAGGCGCGCCGCTGTCGTCGGCCGTGCGCTTCTTCAGGTCCTTTTCCCATGGCCGGCCCTTTTCTGTGGCAGCTGTGCCTGCATACTCTATGCGCATCATGCGGCCCTTCAGCTTCTTGCCATTCATGGCCATCAGCGCCTTGGTCGCGTCATCCGTGTACTTGAAATCAATGTACCCAAAGCCCTTGCACTTCTCGCGGTTGTCCTCGAACGTGGCAACACGAATGCCGACGATATTGCCAAACTGCTCAAACATCGACTTGAGATCTGCCTTCTTCACATCGAAGCTGAGGTTGCCCATGAACAGCGTTGGGCTCGGGTCATGCTTCTGTTTCTTCATCTTCTTGTCCTTGACCTTGCTCTTGGGCTTCTTGTCCCCCTTCTCCTCGGCCTCGGCCTCGGCCTCGGTTGCCTTCGGGTCGATGCGGCTTGGGCGGCCCGTCTTCACAAAGTCACTTGCGTTTTTGATCAAGACAGCACGCCGCCCGATCTTCTGCTCAGAATGCGCCATGGCTAGCGTCATCGCATTCTCGGTGTCAAAGTCAACGTACGCAAACCCTCTGATCTTGTTGTTCTTCTTGGGCAGGTTGACCCGGGTGATGTTGCCGCCGCACGGCTTGAAAAACTCCTCGATGTCCTCGCGTGTCACTGAGAATGGGAGGTTACCAATCCACACGCTATATTCAGACCGGGGCTTCTTTGCCTTCTTAGCCTTCTCCTCTTGGCCCTCTGCTGACGGCTCGCTGGCGTTTGTGCTCTCCTCAGCACCTGCTTCGCTAGTAGGCTGCTCTGTCATCTCCTCTACTTTCGCTGCTTCAGCTACGGCCTCTGCCTTCTTCTTGTCTTTCTTGTCCTTTGTGTGGGAGCCCATGGTGAGTGCAGGAAAAGCAAATAATGTCGAGTGTGTAGAACTGAAAAGGCCAACTGCCAGTTGATGAGAAAATATTCGAGTGAACCATTTTTTTCTTAATAAAAAAGCAGACACATGCTAATTACATCCGCAGTGATCGTGATCAGAACTGCTTTAGCTATAGCCCGATTTGGATAAATAGCAATTAGACTACCTGTCAGCGCCTCCATTGGTCCAGCCAAGCTGCTGCAGGCACTGCTCAATAGCAGCAATTGTCATGCCGGATAGTTCGTCTGACATATGGCTGTCATGTCTTACCACCATTCGCTGGCCTTCCAGGAAACCTCTATTCCACTACCTATCACAGGCATCAGGTATGTGTGACTCCGAATCGCATAATGGACAGCACATGGCATCTGTAGCCACAGCAGCTGCCAATACACTTGAACCAGGTAATAAAGGAGACTGCATAACAGAAAGCCTAGCAGCCAAAGAATTCCTGGCCAGAGAAAGCACCTGTGGGACTGACACTACATTTGCAGGTATAGCAAATGGCATAAAAGCACTTTGGGAGGCTGGTGGGTTTGTGGACAAACTTGCGTCGGGCCTATCAGCTGATCTTGCTTCTGCTGAACTATTGACTGGACAACAGTAGATATTTGTTGTCTGTAGGGTGCAATGGCCTCTTGAAGGTATTGGATTCTCATCTTGGTAGAGAGCTGCTGAAGCTGTAATCTCACCTGCAGACAACTGTACTCCATGTGGCTGTCAACCCATTGCTGTACCATTTGCTGCTCATATTGCTGCTGCTCAAGCTTCCACTGTCGCTGTTGCCCAACAATCTGCTCTCCTGCCTGCTGCAGACTAGCGATCTGCAACCCAGCCTGATACTGGCTGTAGCTATTTCTGCCATAGGTAAATGCGCCTGGGAATGCAGGAGATGCCGGAATAGCATCCAGAGAGAGCGGGCTCGAATCGGCTGGACACTGGGGCTTGCTCGTTGCCGGCCATACAATAGACTGAACCGTGGTTACCGAAGATCTGTGGACAAGTGAAGGCTGCTGTGGTGTCGATGCATGCAAAGGAGTCAGCAATGCGTGGGTATCAGCATCCATAAATGAGGGAGTAGCAGAGGATGTTCTTGAATAATGCATATTATCCACACTGGGTGTTCGCGTTCGATGTACCTGTGCTGTCGCCACAACTGGCTGCTGGATATAGACACCAGATGGATTGGACGCCGTGCACGGAACTATGTCCGCCGAAGGATTCGAAGATGAGCTCGCCATGGCCATTGATGGCCAGCCAATTTGTGCAACAGCAGGTGTGCTGGGGCTAGGAATGAGCGAGCTAGAACCAACAGTACCACACGGGAGCACTGGCTGACATGATATGTGCATTGGGCCAGATATCGCTAGTGACACAGCGGATGCAGATACCGACGAACTGACATGCGAATGTGGTGCTATGTATGGCGATTCTACCGATGACTGCACCGGCGTAGTAGCAACAGCTCCCTGAACAGGTGTAGCCACTTGGACAGACATAGACACCGATTCCGAGACAGCAATCCCAGGATCTGCTGTGACAGTTGGTAATGCGACAGGATGATCTGAAGGCATAGCAGCATCAGGACTTTGTGCTGGTGCAGGCGTCGGGGTGATAGCAACAAATCTTGATGCCAAGGAGGAATCTGAAGCAGAGGAAGCTGGGATGGAAATAGCAACTGGACCCGACGCGGATTTTGAGTTTGCCACAGGGGCTGACGTCGATGCTGTACAGACTGCAACGAAACCCATGGCCGATGAGAATGTCGATATAGGCTGCTACATACTGACAGTAGTAGCAACGCCATCGGGAATAGACCTCGGTATTGAAGCAGATGTAGTAGCTGAAGTGAGCGCTGTTGCAAAAACAAGGGCCGACACGTGCATTGAGATAGGTGCTGCTGTCGATCTGGGTGCATATGGTTCTGGAGACACAAGTACCGCAGAGTCTGTAACTAGCCATGGCTTCTCCACTGGTGCGGCGTCGCTGTGGCTAGCCGGTGCTTTCTGAGTGCCCAATTGCTCAAGGAACGAATGAACCAATCTCACAAACTCCTCCTGAAATCCGGCAGGGTCGGAGGCGCTGGTTTTGGCGGCGTGTTGGTACAAGCTGTAGACGGCGTTTAGTGTTGTTCGAGAGCTAGGCGTACCTTGAATGCTGGTTTTCAGAACACCAGTACAGTTGCGCACAGCCTTGGCGAGATCATCCATGATAGCGCAGTCTTTGGAACTCAGCCTTATACCCTTCTTATGGATTGCCAAGAGCAGACCCCACAGCTGGAAGCTAGGAACTGCCCTTTTCAGCAGTGAAGCTGGGACTGTTGCTGGTACCAGCGCAGAAACAGTAGGAGGGATGACAGGGGCAATCGGTCACACGACTGGAGACAAAGCAGCATCCATAGCTGCCTCTGAGAAACTGGCTGGAGCAACTGAAACCCGCAATGGTGCCTGTATAATTGCAATGCGGGCCTCAGTACGCCGAATCTTGATTGACAGACAGTCACAACATGTCATCAGTCCCTTCAAATCCAGAATCTGACGACTGGAGCCCGCTATGGCACAACTGGGCACATAACTATCGCCAAACTGTTTGGTAGCGTTGGCACGGGTCAGCTGGATCAAATGAGTCCGCATACCCTTGAGCTCGTTCAACGAGCGCCCCAGTGTAGCCACATCGCTGGTTGCTAGTTTGTCCACGATCGTCGCACAATTCTCTGTGATTTCCTGGCATACAGCAGCATACCTCTCCAAGCAAAGATCTGACGACAGCTCCATAGTATCGTTCTGAGGGGTTAGAGGAAGGTGCAACTGGAGCCGGGCCAAGGTAACAAATGGGCGAGCATCAACAGCGAACTCAGGGTGGTGCCTGACATTGCGAGCATTGACAGCCGCTCCTTCCGCGCTGCTCAAGTAGTACCAGGTATACTGCATCGAATACCAAGGCTGCAGCCTCACGTAGTACGGGTGGATATCGTAGTTGCGGGTATATAGCAGTTTACTCATCCCCTGGATGAACGCTGGGTCGCAAATTGTTGGACAGAATGTGATGTCGTGTGGACGTCCACGACACGCAGGACACTCGTCGCTGAGCCGAGGCTGGGAGGGCATAGGGCATTCGCCTGGCACTATCGAGAGATTTGTCAAAATTGGAAAGAAGAGGCCAGGCGTGGTTTCAACAGTGTTTGCCATCGGTTTGCGCAAGTCCTTATCGAACATCTCGTCAAACAGTTGCTCGATAGCCCTGCTCTCGTCTTCAGAAAGTGCATGTTTCTGAGAATGTGTGTGCAAAATGTAAAGCTCGGTCAGCCTGGCAGCAAAGAGCTCCATGATAAGAGGCAGCTCCTCTGGGTGGACAGTAACCAATTCCTGAGATAGAGGCAAATCTGGGTCCGATACAGGGAGCTGGATCTGCGGGCATACGACGACCTCCTGTCCACTTGACATCGCACCATCGCGGCCATCATCCCCCTGGACAGTCGTCGTCGAAAGTGCCAGCTTGAGCTGTTTGGACCGTCTGTCAGTCCCAGACACAGCTGCATCAACGCTGCTGGAGATGGCCACTGCTTCACTTGCCTTGCGTTTGATCGCTTTGCTCTTCAGTAGGTCTGGTGATTCTACCCCTGCGCCAGTATCTGGTTTTGGCTTCACGGCATGGAACTCGATCGGGCGTCCAGTAGCAACATGCACCGGCATATTATCGGTTGAGAGAATCCACGAATCTGGCAGCTCACACATTGACACCGATTGCGTGCTGGCACTTCTCCGCAGCAAGCTAGACTGAGCACCATGATGCAACCCTGATGCCTGTATGCAGCAGTCAAGTACCCTTTCCGCTCGCTCTGCGCTAACCATCTCGCTGTCGGCATTTGTCTGATTGATATAGGAACTGCTGAGCACTTGTGCTGCATTGATATCTAGGGCAGATACGATTGCTTCACCCAGACGGACGACATCTGACTTGGAACCGTCATCGCCCGGAGACCCGCTCTTTGCACGCAGCTGATGGCAAACCATATGTTCGTCAGCTGTATCCCTTGCTACCAGCCGAAGCACCCATACGAATTTGGACTGGCCAGCACCCATCACACGCCCCAGCGCCACACGGTCTACTCCAGCATCGACACTGCTGTCAAAGAAGATGACGGTATCAGCGGTGATAGGATTTGGTGCATACGACTCGAGCATTGTCGATGAGATGAGAATTGCGACAGGGGAATGTTTTGTGTTGAAAAGATCAGCACGCTCTTGACTAGCGCTCTGCCGAAGGCTGCTGTCGATTCGCAAATGGTCGATACGGGAACTAGCCAGGTACTCGCTGATAATATCAAGCGTCCGAAGGTGCTGCACAAATATCACTACGCGCCGCCTCTGTTCAAGCAAGCCCGGCAACAACAGGTCAAGCAGGCCGAGTTTGGCTGAAGACTCAACCAGGATATTGCGATGCTCAGGATCTGAATTGGGCGAGACTCCGGTGTTGCTGATAAGATGCGGGTGGCTAGTCGACTTCAGGGCCTCGACAAGAATATCCATGAGTACTCTGGCTGCATGAGCGCCCGGCTTGCCCTCCGACTGATTGGTGCTAGGATGGGCAGCTGCGTGTTCGGAGTTTGTGCTGCAACTGTGAGTCAGTTGACGCTTGAGCTCGGCCAAACACTTGTTGCGCTGGCCATCATCTAGGCTGCTTTGCCGCATCATAATGATAACCTTGCCCTACCAGCTGAATGGACGCCATGCTCTTTCGGATGATTGCCTGATACAGCTGACGCTGCCATGCTGTCATACCTACGGGAATAACGAGGTCGAAGTAGCGCATGTTGTGCGCACTGATTGAAGAAGACGCAGCAGACGGCTTAGATTTCGAGTGTGCAACAGGCACTGGGGTTGCTGGAGCGTTGATCACTGGTGATGGTTTTCGTGAGGCACACTGCCTGCCCTTTGAGTGTGCTGGATTTTGCGGATTGCTAGCGTGCTGTGCAGACGTCGACGCTGAAGTACTGCTACGTAACACGTCGCGAAAATCGGCTACTGTCGACTTGCACGAACTGGGAGCTGGTGGTAGTGGTGGAGTCGACCGTTGATGACCATCTGGACGCTGCCGGCTGCCCGAGATGGCAGTGCAGGCTGCCATATTAGTATTTAACTTTTCTACGACCTGCTTGAGCGCAAACATCTTTGCACACTTCACAATATCCTCCCTTGTCGGATCGTCAGTCAAGTCAAAGCGGTCCCGAAGCGACTCTTCAGTAGAGTACCGATTTGGCTCAAGGAAATGCGCTAGCGAAAACAAGTCATAAACGCTCTGTGGTTGTTGTGACGGCCCAATAAGAATGCGCTGGTGCAAATGAAACTGGTTCGAGAACTGTACAGAGCTACAGAATTTCTTGCCCTTCAGGAATGCGCCGTATGTTATGATGCTCTGCCAAAAGACCTTGGTTGAGCGTAACAGACTGGCTACAGTGTCGTTCTTTATCGCCTCGAAGTCTGCGATAACAACATGGCATGAAAGCGCTGGGCTCAGCTCCCCTTTTCCGTATCCGCGGAACACCAGATGCTTAAGTAGCATTTCCACGGTACCCTCATCGCCGTACAGCTCGCCAACAACAACGTTAGGTGCGACTGCCCTAAAGATAGCTGACCAGGCAGATATATCACTATGTGGGGCGATAATCAGGTAGGGAACCATGCCACAAGCGCCTGCGGAAGCACCGGAACTGCACATCTCACGAACTGGTTGTGTAGCAGTAGCTGCCGAAATGAAAGCTGCCACAGTATTCATGAAGTGGATTCTTCTGATCGTATTGAACACAACTGGCTTGGACGCCTTCCACGCAGTCAGGAGCCATTCGACTCGCTCAACCTCCAAATCGGAGAGTCCAGCGCTCACTGAAAATGACAATGGCTTGATCGTGCTCACAGCATCCATTAGACAGCCCCCTGGACGACTCTCCCACCTGCACCATCCACGCATGTCGATTGCACACCGGGCTCTGTACCTTTTATATGCATACAGCCAGTACATGAACTCTTGGCGATCTGAGCAAGGGTCTGGGATGGCCTGGACGACAACCGTCTTGTCATTTGGTGGTTCCAAGATTACTGCCGCCTGCTCAAAGTGCAAAGCCAGGTATCGGCCATCGCTATCCAGATCGAGTCTGTTATGCTCCAGATATCTCCTGCGTGCATCCACACTGTTAGGCTATCTATGCAAAACGCCGACCATGTGCTTAATCTGCTTTCCGCTCCTAATACTCGACTTGCTCAAAATATCCCCAGACCAATCCGGCATACCCATTATTGGGGTGGAGTCCTTTGGCAGAACCTTGGGGCTAATCGTGCCCGAAGCCAGTACCTCCTCGACATCCATAGGCTCAACCACTTCCGAAATACCTGCTACATAGGAATGGTGCGTGTGCTGCTTAGCTATACCGTATAAATCACTTTTTTTACCAAACGTCCCTACATGTTATATGATTTTCATACCTAGTTCCTGCCCTTCGGCATGTGAGAGAGAGCCTCCATATTGGCCAAGAGTATCTGCCAGGGCCTTCGTTTTTCCACCCCATTCATTGGAAGATGTGTCTCCAGGGTTGAAATTGCTCTGAGGTATGGCATTTTCCTCGTCTGAGAGGGACCTCATGTGCGACTCCTTGGTATGAGCAGAACTGCGCAGGGTTCGACATAGTGTTTTCCTGGGCCTGAGATCTTTCGCCAACTTGCACTTCTCCAGAACATCCAACAGGCTGTCGGACGTTGCTAGTGATTCTCAAGTAACCTGCCTATCGCCCCAGGTCACCAAAAAGTAACAGCGAAGTGAAGGATCGACCAACATGCCTTTGATATTTTTGATCATACAGGTAGGCGACCAGGATGCACTATTGACCCTGCTCCATCCATGAGTGGCCCCCACACACCACGGCGAATCCTATTCATGGACTTGGTCCCTCGTTTATTTAGCGCATTAGCCTGACTGGTGTTTTTGCCATTTTCTGCATCGACATCCTGAGCACCAAACACCGAAAGATTATTAGCAAACGCGTCGAGCGCCTCGTCTACGATGCTCGCAATCCCCCTGTTCTCGAACCGGTCAACAGAGATTGGTCTGGGTAAGCCGATTCCTTGGCACATGTCGCTGCACTTCTCAAAATTTTCGACTTCCTCCTTGCAGTTCAGTGTTTCCTTGGCATCTATCCAACTTGCGTCCACTATCCTGTACCCTTTCCAAAACACCAGGTACTCGACACCTCTCTGAAGGGAGATTCGCCGTCCAACTATACGCTCCACCTCATATTCATCTGCGTCCCTTTTCCTTGCCATACTAGCTATAACGGTTGATCGATGTTAAGCAAAATATGACTGTTGGTATCGTTTCCTTCCTTTATGAGTGGGTAAATGTATAATAACGAGCAGCTGCTTCGATGTGGAAGGAAACCATGTATTGCTGCAAGTATGAATGAGGGGGCGAACTTATAGTCAGAGTGCCATGAGTCTGCTGATAGTCAGCTTTGGTTGATTTTTTACACAGCACAAATCGCATTTTCCCTATCTGTGAGTCCTGTCCTTAATTGGCTCATTGTTCAGACTTTAGAGAATGCACGAGTGAGGATCAGCGACAGGTGGCATTGCAGTTTCGGCATATATTGCACCATTGGAATGCCATGGCCAGCATAGCCACGCTGCTTCCAACAAGTCTGAGCCCTAGCATCACCAAGCATGTGGTTGACGATCTGCACAACAAGTCTAAATTTGGAATGCTGCAACACCACTGCAAGCCGCCTGGTGGTTAAAGATATGTGTATACTTACCCATATACATAGCGGTGGAATTAGCGATCTGCATACACCACTGAGTAGAGAGCAAATAGAGTAGCAATGCCAAAGTGCACGGATCGGGAATCAATGGTTGAGATAAAAATCATTTCCCAATTTTCACTATTTTTGTACTGTTCACAGCAAAGATCCTCAAGGCGCTGGTTCCTCGACTGAACGCATTACATGACTATTTTAGCCTTGAAGCTACATGCACACAGTGTATATTGGTCCTCGGCATACAGTGCTTCACTGGTGGGGCTAATTTCGGCCCTAATATCACTCTGAGCTTCTGCTAAGGTGCTTTCATCGATTCCAGAGCAAGCTTCCGAAGCCCTTGTCATAATAGGTAACATTGAGTGGTGTCTTGTATACTAGCTTTCAATCCGGGCATGCAAGTTGGCTACTTTGGCCCTCCAAACCAACCAATATCCCTCACTCTCCTCTCTTTTTGCTAGGGGTCCTTAGTATATCTCGTAGAGTATCAATATTGTTGCCTTATTTCAGCACATTTCACTCACAAAGCGTATTAATTTTCTTTGAACGCACAGTATTCGCTCTATGCTGTTGACAATTAGAGGTATTTATCAATATACATAAGCAACAGCTATATATACAATACCCCTTTCTTAACTCAAAATAAATTCTGTAGCATTCACATTACGGACACTGTCTTCACAGTACATATAGCCAATATTCAATGGCTGCACTGACAAATAGACTAATAATGCGCTGATCTTCTATTTCATAAAACTTTGCTAACAGTGTACTTTTGTCTTAACACGTTATGAATTCCCACAGAGTGCACTCGGACTACATCTGCAGTATTTCTGTCCTTGGTCTCTGGTAGCAAAAACCAGCAGAAAACCACTCCAAACACATTGCAGATGCCAAAAACAACAAACGAGTATCCGCCTATAGCGCTCTGCATAGGTGGAAATACCAGGCCAATGACGACCATGAAGAAATAGTTGACCGTGCTGCCAATGGAGCCAAATGCAGCTGCAGCATACGTGGGCGTTAATTCGCTGCATGTGAGCCATGGAATTGGCCCCGAGCCAACAACAAAGGCAACATAATGCACAAACACCATTGTGATTGCAAGGATATTAATATGCCCCACGGTGCCCACAACAATAAATATGCATGCAATGGCCATGCCGCCATGCGAGACCAGCATTAATGGCCGACGCCCGTAGTATGCGGACAAGATCACCCCAGCCAGTGTCGCTAGCGCAGCAACAAGAGAAAGAACACTGGTCAGGATCTGCGCCAGTGTCGGGATGCTTGCAGGGTTGCCGGTGGTGACTGAGCTGAAAATTGATGTCGAGTAAAACGACAGAGAGCCAACACCACACGACTGCTGGAGGAAATTAACTGTGACTATCACTAGCAGTTGGTGGCGGAGGTTTTCTGGCGTTCGTCCAGCTACGACGTCGTAAATGTTGGCAACGAATGCGCCATCGCCCATCTCTTTGCGCACGTCGGCGACCATTTTGTCGAACTCGGCTGTGCAGTCGGCGCCCTGGCGCAGCTTCTCCAGCGATTCACGGGCCAGTTCGAGCCTGTCTTTCATGATTAACCATTTAGGCGACTCGACACAGAACATCAGCAGCTGGATGTTCACCAGTGCGAGGACGCCGGTGATGGAGAACAGAATGCGCCAATAAGGCGGCTTGGACATTCCCAACGAGACTGCCTGAGACACAGCAATTCCCAGTGCAATGCCCATCTGGAGCAAAAAACCCAAGCACATTCCGAGCCTTGGGCGTAGCCGCTTCGACAATATACGCAGTGAACGTGCTATTGGCACATCCAATGCCCAACCCTACGCATATGCGTCCAACCACCAGCATTGGGATGTTAACCGCCAGAGATAGAAACAGCGCGCCGATGATGGAAAAGACTCGGCAATAGGCGAGTACTGTTTTTCGGCCGTACCGGTTTGAGAAGGGCGTACAGAACAGAGCGCCCAGCATCGCACCCAGCGGCATGCAGGAGACGATTACTCCCCAAACGGTGGGACTCATGGGGATGCATGATGGGAAGGGCCCGATCCAGTGCAGGGGAGAGGTGATGCAGCGGGAGATTACATCGCCAGGGACGTTAGTTGCACCAATGTCCCAGCCGTAGCCGACACTGCCCAGGGAGCCAACAAGGGCGCAGAAGAGCTGGTACTTTGTGATGCCCAGTTCGCGGGAGTCCGTCATTGAATATAGTAAATGCGTAGGGATGGGATGTTTGTGGAAATGAAAACCGAGGACCAGCATCCGGCTGGGTTTATATTGGGCGTGGGATTGATATGCCAAAGCAAGAAATGTGCGTGTGTGCGAACGTGGAAGCTTGCGCTCTCAAGAGCTTATTTTTGACACTCTATGCTACCCGTGCCATTTTGTAATATTTTTCAGCACGGGTAGGATGGTATGCTTAGATTAGCAAAAAAACCAAATAAAGACCGTGCAGTTCAACGCCGATTGCAGGCAAGTCGTTCCCACACGCTTGTCAGAATGCGATGTGCCAAAGCGCCCAGAGGACCGATTTCCGATCCGGTAATTGATTTCTAATTTCTGTCAACCGCCTGTTGGGAATCAAGGATCCTCGACGACTGGATTTTCTGCGCCGGCTAGCTGCCGTGTGCCCGCGGGCCACCCAGCGCAACGTTGGGGGGAGGGCGACGATGTGGGCTGAGCTGTGCAGAGCGTGGAACAGTAGGACTCCAGCGTGTACTAATGTTGCACAAACTGGTGTTTTCCTCCTTTCAAATGAATTCTATCGGGCGGCGAGTGCTGACATTGTCCTGACAAACTCCCATTTGCACCTATTTTCCGGGGCCGTCGCACCAAGCACTGGCGAAGGTACGACGGCGATCATCTACTAGGTATAGTCGCGGCTTCTGACCACACCCACCTGCAGATGAATGAGCAAGGCCACCAAGACTGTGGCGAGAGCAAACTGAGAGCGGCGAATTAGATCGGCGGCGTAAAGCGAGCTGGATCCACAATGAATGAGGGTAGAGCCGCGTTTCGTGCAGGGTCGTCCATTCCCAGGGCATGCGCGGTCTATTTCACGACACTGTGTCTCTCGGTTCATTGGAAGTCAAGAACTGCCGTGCAGCATCTGCTCGAGTACAGGCGAGGGCGGGCATAAGCATTTTTGGCGCAATCTGGCTGGCGCTATGTGGATAAAGACACCAGTGCCACCAGCCTACTGCTGCGGCAAATAAAACAGTGCTATCCTCAGGGTGTATATAGATCGCACTGAGATAAAGCCTACTGTCGCTGTTGCCGATGACGCAAGGACACATTTTTCAAGGTATGTATCTTGTGCAAATGTAGTGGAAAGCCAATAATTGCCAGCATCAAAGCCGCCTCATGCCAAGCGAGGCGCTGGCGTTGAGCAGCTGCGGGCGAGATGCGTGGCGACTGTGACGATGACAACGGCGGCCCAAGCCCTGCATCTGGTGACAGACTTGGCTCTCCACAGTGCAACGCCAGGCGGTGGTGGCGGCAGCAAAAAGCCAGAAGCTTTCCTGCTTGACTGCTGGCGCTGGCAGCCGAAAGAAAAAGGGCCAGGCTCTCAGTGACCTTTTCAGCACACGGTTGGCTGGGCGTGGTCCGGGCCAATCGGGTGGCGACTTCAAAGTAGGCAGTTTCAGGAAATTGAGAGCAATGCGGGCACACCCAACCGAAGCTCCTCCCCGGCCTGGCAGGCAAGGAGGTTTTTTTGTTTTTGGCTGCTGGGCTCACAATTATATAAGGAGTCTCGTCTGGCCCAACGGCCAGTTCTCGAGGCTTCCTTGTTTTTATCCACTTCTTGATCAACAGCCGCCATCACCCTAGCCATGTCGACAGCCATTGCCTCTACAACCGCCCTGCAGGGACCCGCCCTGGAGTACAGCAGCCACTCGCAGCTGCTCCGCACGACGGCGTGGTCACTGCGCTCGCTAATGCGCACAACAGACCGGCTGGCCAGCGGGCCTGGGCTGCGCGGCAACTTTGGCCACATAATTCCAGCCTCGGCGACCCTGCCGTCCATCGAGGTGTTTGTGAACAGCATCACCGCCTCGCTCCACATCAAAGCCGCAGTGCTCGTAACAGCGCTCGTGTATGTCGAGCGGCTCGGCCGCCGGCTGCCAAAGAGCGCCCAGGGCACAGCTGACACCCCATACCGCATTTTCCTGGCTGCGCTAGTGCTGGCCGACAAGTACTGGTCAGACTACGCGGTCAAGGCAAAGAGCCTGGTCAAGGCGGCTGGCGGGCTGTTCCAGCTCAGTGAGATCTGCGCCATGGAGCGCGCAGTGCTGAAGATCCTCGGGTTCAGACTGTATGTGTCGACCGAGGAGCTGCGCCAGTACGCCAACAAGCTGTCTATCGATCTCGACCAGGCCTGAAAAGAGAAAGCCAACCAAGCATGCATCACCCCTGCGCAGGGTCTCCTCTGCCGTCCACCCACAGTACATATCCCCTCTCACCCCCACCCCCTCCCTGTTTATAGCTGTTTTAAATGAAATTCAAGATATTTTCAAGCTTGTCTTTTCTGTACACTGAGAATTGGTCTACCGCGTTGACTCCTTGAGCTGGCCCTCGAGTATTTCGCGCTCCATCAGCAGATACTTTATATACTCGACGGTCTTTTGCAGAATCAGCGCCT